GTTTCCTCCTTCGTCCCACTTCCTTCCATTTCCTTATCCCTCCCTTCTTTCCTTGCTTCCTTCTCTTTCTTCTGTTCCACACATAAACCCACAACATCATCATTTCATGTCTGCATATTGATTCATTAACTGCTCAAGAGCTTCTATATGAACAAAATCCCAGGCGATGAAGTTCCACATCCCCCCCCTATATTCTCTGATACAAGAATCAATATAACAATTGAAAAGAGGATTTAATTAGAAGCAGAGGCTTACTTGCATGGAGTGGAAACTCTTGTTCAAATGGGGTCTTGATGCTTTATAATTACTGTCTTGATCTTTCATTCACTTCCAGAAGAAATTCTGACTTGAGGGATACTGCAACGCATATGAAAAGTTTCGAGATGACCAAGGGCGGGTTTCTTAGCTAGGAGCAATCAATTAGCATGCTTGACAAGTCAAGGAATTTAAGCTTGGCGCCGGAAAAAGAAAAAGAAAATAACAGGGAAAAAAATGGAAGAGTGTGTTTAAGAAGCTATTACCAAATGTGGGTCTTCACATTCAAGTTGCATGCATTAGCTGTGTAATTACCCAGAAAGTTACATCCATCGCCAATTTCAATTCATGACCATCTTGCCCTCCTTATCATGTGTATATGATTAATTGTTAGTATTGATTTTATGTATTGTGAATTTCCAATACTAATATATATAACTGGAAGAGCAGGCGGTAAGAAGGAGCGATGAGAAGAGGCGTGGATTTCAGAGCCGGGAATGAGCGTTCAAGTCAATCATGCACACGTGATATGGTGGGTCCTACTTCCTACCTACTAAGATGAGTGATTTCTGTTCTTCCAATGGGGAACTACCACGTCATCGAAAGGGACGATCTATATGGAGTGTGATGTGGACCGCGTTGCATCATAATCGAAAAGTCAAACTAGACCATGAACCGACGAGGAACAGGATCCCGGAGTTCCCTGAGGCGCCAACCAAAAGGCAAAACACTAAGGCCGTGTTTGGCATGCAAGATTTTTCTTTCAAGAGATCCAACATCGTCTCTCTCTTGGCCCTTGACTTGTTATAATATGCTTTTGATTTTGCGTCCTTATTTCTTCCTCGTCATGATACACTGTTGACCCACTCACCTGTTTTAGGGCATGGAAACGCTTTCATATTGATCATTCTGCATATACCGCCTTATGCATGTGATCCAACTTTTCTTCACATTTGATTGATTTCTTTTTCCCCTCTCGTTCCTAAGGACGAGGCCAATCTAAATCTGCAAATAAATCATAAGTTGCAGAGAAAGAACAATAAATTAAGACCCGTGTATTGACCGATAGCATTTTATAAATGATTTTGTGTGAGGACCATTTGTGTGCTTTGACAAATGAGAGGACACGGGAAGGAAGATTTGCAGAGACTTGTTTGAAGAACAAATGTCACATTATCGTGAGTAGTATTGGTAGGTATTTTACTGAAACGTGATTTCGCACTTAAGCCTGAGGTTTAATTTTTCATTTGAACTCGAGACATTTAATATAAAAATATATTCCAGCTCCTTCAACTTGAGGCTGCTGCATTAAGTCGTCTTTGTTGAGCTGCCTCTTGTCCAACAGACGTTTAGCACACCTTTCCCTTTTGCCCTGAACAATGATGAATCTCTATTAGGGATATTGAAATGTCGCGTATGTTTTTATTACGTTATATGACAACCAAACATTAATAATTTTCAGATTTGTCTAATCTGCGTTCTACGTGACAAGTTTACAATACTTCTGACAAATATTATTCACTTTTAACGGTAAAATATTCTAATTAACTGTTTTATTAAATTTGGCGAAATTACATTTTATACGTTTTCAACTCACAATTTGGACCCTACTCACTTGTTTCGAATTAGATGCATGGGTGCATATATGGGATATAAGATTATAAACTTGTAATCTCAATGGGCCGGCGTTTACTGTTATGTATTCTTTATCTTAAATTTAACCAATTCTAAATCCAATTAACGTCCTTATATATATAATTAACTTCACTGTTCGATGTCTTCTATTTTGTTATTATATATCTTTAACCACAAATTTGAATGCTCATGTGTACGTGAGCGATGTTGCACGAAAGACGACTACTCTTGTTAATTAGTCTTGCAGTGAAGAAGCCGCCATTGATGATTCATTAGGTAGCAGACAGGTGAAGCCTTTAGAAATTTGACATGTAATTCAATACATACGTTCACGCCACCAGTCACCATGTTCACAAATTCCTAAAGAGTTTACTCTACGTACTTCTTTTTCCACTTCCTTCTCCCAAGTTGTATTGCTCTCTTCTGAAACTGAAAGGAAAAAAAATACTAAATGAAACATCAAAACTAACGGGCCTCTTAATCATTCACTTTGAAATGTCTTTACATGCATCTCTTAACAAGTGAAAGTTATCTCTACCGGCCATCAGAAATCCAATAGCTAGCAGAACTCAGTACGCATACAGATAACACGTACGTGAAGTCCTCTACGTGCCTTTTGATTGATATTGTCCTTGATCCATCGAAGTTATGATCACGTTTGATTAATTAGCTTGTTGATGCTCATCATAGGACATGAGGAGCAGAGTGCAAGAGTTTTTCGTCTCCTTTAATTTTCTGCATAATTAGCGGGCCATTTATAAGTGTACAAATGTACCATTATGAACCAATATTGTTGTTAACTTACAGTGAGGTAAAGTTAAACAATGGCCAAATGATAGATTTCTTCGGAAAGCAGTTTTTTCTGATTCCAATTTTAATGCAGTGTGATTAATAACTAATTTTGTCTTCAGATCTCCAAAGTCACGTTTACGTGTTCCATAGACAGGTTAATCTGTCGGGATAACATGAATTATACTTGTCGTCTCCTTTAATTAGTCGTTAATCCTTTTCAAAGGTTGGGTTAGTTATGATATTGGAAAGATTCATAGCTCTGTCATTTTGATATAACAAATAATGTGTTTCAGAGCTCAAGTCTGTGTACGTATACCCTATCAAAATCAATTGCGCTTACTTATCACACACTTCACATAATCTAATCTAAGGTGTCTCAGTCATGTTTACCCGTTCGCAAAACATGGATTCACACTAGCTAATCTTCACGATGAAGCCTCACTTGTTCAGGACATGATTGGAATACGAGGATGTGACACAAGAGTGACGGCAGAATTGGCAAAAATTATTAATTAAATTCGTGACTTCAAAAACACAGACAATCATATTTAAGGACTCTCTTGTCCTTCTTATCTACATGCTATATGATTATTATCTCTTGCATTGTTCAGCATAAAAGTATGTCTCAGTACGATAAAAGAAAATTCATCTAAGAAAATTAAAAGATCGCCCGTGGAATAATTAATGAGTTCATCCATTAATTGCATAACTTCACATATATGCATCAGTCTAATCTGCAGCTGTGGCCTGTACCAGAAGAAAGTGAATTAAGAGATGCAATTCTGCAAGGTAAAAGGAATCAATTAAGTTACAGCAGCAAAGTAGCCAGTAATTATATAAGCGATGAAATTATGAAATGATGAATTATATATTGCTTTGTTTTAACTTTCCATCTCTATAATTCATTCAATTTCAACTGGACCAACCTTAACATGGATTAGATCCGGATAATTACTAAGTACATGTCGTGAGAATCAATCTAGAATATATAAATGACAAAAGCAGTTGTTGGACGGATATATAGATTCAAGAGAAGAGGAGAAAGACCAGAATTGATTGCCGGCTTAACCAACAATAATGACCTACTTGTTCTTCACTTAAAGATCATAACAGTATTATATGTTATCCATATCATTGCGTTCTTTATAAAACTTAATCATCTCTTTTATGCAAAAGAGATAAAACTTTATGCACTTAGGCAATGATAAATTAAACATGATAAAGCCCAAAGATTCAAACGCAGTGCTAGCGATATCATGTTAGGTTGTGTGTCTTCTTTTTGAAAATGGCTTACACATATGCACTTTCATGTATATATAAAAGGCTATGGAAACTGGTTTATCATTGAATTGAGTAATCAACTACGATCACAAAAGTAATTGATGACGGTATCTGTAATCTTTTTACCTTCAGAGCATCTATATTCAATATTCATTGCTTTCATTATTATCATACACTTCGAATATTATAGCGATCGAAAGTGTCTCTCTATCTCTAACCTGAATAGTTTTCTTTGCTCTACGCACAACCTGCAAAGTACTCCTTCGATCAATTAGGAAAGGAGTTCTAAATTCAAGCAACGTTGCGGTCTAGAACACTTCTTATTCTAATTAATGCTAAGAGTAGAAAAAAAAGAAAGTATAATTTAAGTTTTCTGATGCATTAATTCCCCCAAGTATATTAAATAAAAAATCATTATCTAATTGCGTATTTGACATTATATATCTTAGACACGTCTCTGATTATGTTTCCCCATCAAGATTGTTTTTGAATGAGAATAGTTATAAATTTTTCAACGGATTTTTTGATTGATGGTGAAGTGGTTGACGGGTATTTGTCATATGGAAAAGGCGAAGCAAAACCCTAACCCTAAATAAGGTTTTAAGCCAAGTCATACTTGCAGAGCTATACTTGTCAAGCACTTCAAAATAAAATATTTAGACTGCAATACTGCCAAGTATTTAATTAATGAATAATTCACACCGAAACGATGAAACTAAAATATGTATAATGCATTAATCAGATATGAATTCGTATAATTCTTATCAGAAATAATAGATATTCAGAATGCCAGAAACGACCCATAAATTTTACTGGCACAAAGTTTGTTTCCAAAAGAGTACGTCCTATACATATACATAGGTATAAATATATTGACAAGAGTTGGTTGCTCTTTAACAGAAACGATTTCATATCCAGTTGCCCCCTATCAGATCAGAAAAGCATATGTGTGTGTGTGTGTGTGTGTGTGTGTGTGTGTAGGCTTCAGTAGAAATTTGCTCGCCACAGTGACATTTCTAGAACTTGGCTGCGAAGCCTTTTAGAGGAATGATGATATATGAGCGTTTTCTTGCAGGTGTTGTTCAATCTATGAACAGATATGTTAGGTTGGAAAAAACTGGCGAAGCTTGCTACGTGTAAGAGTGCGTTTTCTTGAAAAGATATGTTGTTTCGCGGATCGTGAAGTGTCCCAAACTCAAAAGACTATTTTCTGCGCACGTTTCCTGGGCAACGAATTTAAGGAACAGTTTGAGGATCCTGGACAAGGAAATCATACAGCACACTCTTGTATATAATAGCATGCATATGCATATTCTTTCAATAGGATAGCCAGACCGATATGCCTATTTACTTGCTGAAGTAATTGTTTTTTTAAAAATACATGTATATATATGACCAAAGTTATCTGAGACAACGCAAATTGCAATTTTCAGATAGCTCATGTTTTATCTGCTGAAACGCCGAGTTTTAGTATCCAAATGCTAATACTAATAGTCATGTTTAGTTCTTTTTTTTAGTTAATTCCGATCATAATCAATATTCTATTCCCCCCTTCCACTTGTTCATCACTAAATGTAATGTATATGATGCACAGTGACCGATTTGACTCTGCGTAATTACGTTTGCAAGGGATCAATCCAACTCGGAATTATACACATGCTCAAAACTCTGGCCCTGGACCGTGGGGTTTTCAGGATACAACGCCTCTCTCTATTTCGGGCTTTAAGTCCATTTCTTTTATAATGAGCCCATGATACTAAGCCCAATCTTGATCTGGCCCAAAAAGGCCCAATCCTTCCCCTCCCGTTTTCCCAGAGTTTCGCGTTCCTATTTCAATTATGTAAATACTATCGTGACTAATCATTAATGTTTTAAATAAATGTGAGCTTCAAGTTGAAATAAATCCAAAAAATAGTTTATTTTATTTTTAACTAGGATGGGCTTAAAGTAATAATTTATTAGTAATGAATTTTTAACCTGATTATTAATCATGATACGACTTCTAATAAATGTTAACTTTTAAATTGATTTTCAAATTAATAAAAAGCCATAAACTGTACTGAAATCATTGTTTAAATAAATTTATATGCATTCAATTATTATCGATCATCTCAACAAATATTTAAGTGAATCGCATGTATTGTATCCTCATTTTTACAAATTTAACAGAAAATACGGAGAAAAGATAAGGAAATATCATTATGCGATTTCAAAGAATGAATGTGATTGCTAAAAATTATCAATGACAAATTAATGACAAATTCTAATGCAAAAAGATTCATGCTCCTTTGTGTTTTTTTTCCCCTATTACTTTTCTATTCTAAAAATAAAACTATTTAATAGTAATTATATTGTAAAATAAGTCTTGTGATTTTCTCGAAATATTAGAAAATGTAGGCGGAAAGAAAAAAAGACTGAAACAACGCGAGAGTGCGCCAATGAAAAAGATTGTGGCGACACTGTGAGCTCACAGTGTTATGTTACAGAAGGAATTGGGAATCGGCATCGTCACCGTTGTGAGAACGAAAACGAGCTGTCCAGATTCTAAGATTCCATTAAGTTGCGTACTTCCTCCGATCCACTCTCCATCTCTCAGTCTTCCACCGTAAAGCGTGCCCTCCTCGCGATCCCCTCCCCCTCGATCGTCGTCTTTCCCAAATCAGCGCCGTTTTACGATGCAGACTCTGCAGCAGAAGGCCTCCGAATGGAGCGGAGTTCCCACCGCCGATGCTTTCGCCATTGATGACACCAATCTCTTTGATAAACTCGGCCTTCAAACCTTCATTAACCTCTCCACTAATTTCTACAATAGGTACTCTGTTCATTCATGTTTGACTTTCAAAATGCCTATTATTCTCGTTTTTCTTTCTGCTCTTTTGATCCCATGCCTACACAGACGTGCTGACATATATTTTGTTGATAATTTGAGCAATTTGGATCAGGGTGTATGATGATGAGGAAGAATGGTTTAGATCAATCTTTGCTGGTTCAAATAAGGAAACCGCAATTCAGAACCAATATGAATTCTTCGTCCAAAGAATGGGTGGTCCTCCTCTGTTTTCACAGAGAAGAGGTGTGCTTACTTCACTGTTTTGTTTTATTTTATTTTATTGTTTTTATTGCTCCTTTTGCTTTAAGAGCCTAGTATTCTTCACTTAAAACCTCCACTGACGAGTCTAATATTTCGTTTATTGCTCATTTTACTCAAAGATTAGTTTCTTAAAATGATGACCTGCTTGTATGACCTAGTCTTTGACTGTAGATCTGTACGATGCTCCCAATTCCACTATGCTTTTCTCTTATAATTTTGAAGGCGTGGGTTATCTTTGTTATGTATGATATTTGGGAAATATATTGCTTGAATGGACTCCGTGAAAATGACCAAGGTGAATAGATAAGAGGTGATTTCAAATTTTAAGGGTCTTGGTGTGAAGCCTTTACCCTTGAGAAGAAGCAATCCTGAGTAATGAATGTTGAGTTTTTCACAGCTTTATCTCTCCCTAGTTTAGTTTAATTCCCGCAAACTAAGTGTTATCCAGAGGATAACCTTTAAAGAATGGAATTAGTGTGGGTGAGTTCAGCAACATGTCTGTAAAGAGACTAGCTAAATTTTTAAAATAGAACTAAACTAATTTGTATTACAATCTTACTGTCCAGTATTCTCTTTGGAGAAGTAGTTTGATTTAATCACCTGAAAACTTTTTAACCTTTGATCTCCCCTTGATATATGGCAGGACATCCTGCTCTGATTGCACGACATCGACCATTTCCTGTGACACATCAAGCAGCAGAGAGGTGGTTACATCATATGCGACAAGCACTGGACAGTACATCAGACATAGATGATGACTCCAAGATCAAAATGATGAACTTTTTTAGGTACACATATATTCTCTCCAAATTTGCAAGATTACTTATTGACCAAATAAAAATGGTTGCAAGATTACTGATCATATAGAGCATTTACTGATTTCTTGGAATTCAGGCACACTGCATATTTTCTGGTGGCTGGGGATGAGCTGAAGAATCAGAACCAGCAGATACCATGCAAGCATGCAACCACCAAGCAGCAACAGTGATAGAATCTTAAGGATATTATATATTTCTCTCTGAACGATGATGAAACGAAGAAATATATCATTCTTAAAGTTATGCGCTCTGCTAAACGCATAAAACCCATTAATTAATGAATGATTATTGGAATATACAACTTCCTATTTTTTTGGTCAGTCTTTTTTATTGGCGCATCTGAGACATTCTGTATTATCTATTTATTATTATTATTATTTTTGGCCGAGGGAGACATTCTGTATTATACTGTTATCTGGTTCGAGAAAAAATAATCATTCTTCGAAAAGACATCGTTTTTAAAAAAAATGAAATTGATTAAAAAAAAAAGTATGGTTTTCTCATGAATCTCGTAACCCCCTCGGACGTAATAGGATTTAAAGTTCACATCATCTGAAGTGAAAGTTCTAATTCTGACGCTTGAAACAACAGAAAGTTAATGGAAAAGTGTCTTTTGCCGAGCATAAATGTTTAGAAGGACCGAAGGGACTCTGTATAGCGATTGTATAGCGATGTATTAGCTGCAGACAAAGGTTTCTAAACCTTTGGGCTAAAGCATATCAGAATGTGACAAGATGTTAAAGGGACAGTGTGATGTGCACTAGAGTTTCTGAGCTATGGCTTATGATTTCTATGTGCCCATTTCAACTTCTTTTGGACTTAAAACATTTCACAATTGATATGATCTACGCATACAACATGAACAGAGAAATGCAGTTGAAACATACAAACAGCAGCGAACCCTGGTTGGCTCAATAATTATGAATCTTGCGCAGAAAGTGAATGCCTGTAATTGTTGCCATCCTTGGAAAATATTAGGTGTTTAAGGGTATCAACAAAGCAATGGTGCTTTTGTAGTTCAATTCAAAGAAAAAGGTACAGTAAACCAAGGATGTCCGTCAGCGTCTCTATTTGCTCAAAAAAGGCTGTAAATTTCCATAGCATTGTAGTAGTATTTACCAAAATCATTCTTTAATTTTCCGCCCTGTCATTTACGATTTGGACTAACATTATTTGAGGATTTAGATCTCTTGCTTGCAGCTAAAATACTGGAATTCCGGAGTATAAATTTTGTAAAGCAACTTTACCTACTTATTTCTCGGTTCTGGTATTATTCTCTAGTAAGTTCTTCACCTTATTCCTCATTTGTCGTCTTTCTTCTTTTTTATGTATATCAATTAAAATTAAGACTGCATTAATTAACTGAATCTGGATTATTGATCATGAATTAACCCGCCGTATACTGCTCATTAAACCAAATAATTTCATACTATTTGTAGTAGGTCAGAAGACCATGCCAGAAATGACGGGAAACAAAAAGCAGGGGAACCATATCTAGCCGGCCGTCAGTTTTCAAAGCTCAAGAACCACCATGCCAATATGTTTTTATCATTGTAATGGACACTGAATCCAACACAGATCTCTTCAGAAATCAAAACGCGTCTGAGCATTTCGTTATGGGGAAAAAAAGAATTATACAATTGGAATTTGAGATTAAAGAAAGAAAGAAAAAAATAAAACTCATGTACATCATGGAAGCTCAACAATCCAACAAATGAGTGGGAGGGAAAATTCTTCTGGATGGAACAGCAAACCTAGCAGAGAACGAACGACAGAGGCTGTCGGGTTCCATGCAATCCAATCCTTGATCAAAGTTCAAGGAGTAAGTTCGTGGGTTATAAGTGCCCTCCATTGCACCATAAGACTTCAACAATTTCTTCTTATTATTATTTTCTCTTCTGAATCTGAGTTTTCTCAGAAGCACCTGCCACACCGTCGGCTTTGCATTGGCATAGGTTGCCGACGTATATCCCCGACGGTGCGGTTTAGTGTAGCTGCCGTAGGTGTAGCTGCGACCTAACCGGATGGTGGAAGTTACCTCCCTGCGTGAACCAAACAAGTACTTCTTCAGATCCATTCCTCAAAGAGAACCCAAATTCTGTTTGACACGCCTAGAGCTTACAAAGAGACTTCTTATATAGTTGGCAGGAGGAAAGAGGAAGGAAGGACATGGGGTGATCAGCTTAGTTTGATCCTTCTCGAAGCCTTTGTTTTGCTTTGTAATGATGAAGAGGCCGCTCTATTATTATATATATGTATATACTCATATATAACGTATACCAAGTAACTACCCATTTAATATTTTGAAAAGAAGCATTCTTCATTCTTCAATGTTCATTAAGAAACTCTGGCCAAAAAAAAAAAAAATGTTCATTAAGAAACAGTACCAGTGGTGTGAACTGTGAAGTGGGACCGAGTATGGGCGCGGAACGTCAACTGTGGCAGCAAGCGACTGGGCTTTCTTCCGTTCCAACGTGACAGGCTCTGACTCGTATAATAATAAGGGAAAATTACGTACAGGTTTCACAGAAGGCAATTTATTAATCTGAGGTCTCACGAAATGTCAAAATCACTGACAGGTCCCAAGGGACCTCAGAGTAATATTTTCGATTTGTAAAATGACATTACTGCCCCTCATATTCCAGATTCACATTTGTTCTGTCATTGCGATTTACAACCTTAGCAGCGACTATTAACAACCCAATGAGAGGGCGTTAACAATCCTAGCAGTATCCGTTAACAACTTACTTTATAGAATCATATAACCTCCACATAAGAGTAAATTATAACCAAATAGTATAATACAACAACTTTAACACTAAAATGGGAAGCTTTTTGATATCATTAAGAATTTTAACTAGATCCAATAGGATTGTAGTAATATTTTAATGCGAAGATCCATTTACTACCTCAACAGCAACTATTAACAACCGAATGAGAGGGCATTAACAATCTAAGCAGTATCCGTTAACAACTTACTTTATAGAATTATATCACCTCCGCATAAGAGTAAATTATAACCAAATAGTATAATACAACAACTTTAACACTAAAATGGGAAGTTTTTTGATATCATTAAGAATTTTAACTACACCCAATAGGATTATAGCAACATTTTAATGCGAAAATCCATTTACAACCTCAACAGTAAGTATTAATAATCTAAGGAGAACTGTTAACAACCTCAGCAATGTCTGTTAACAACTAACTTTATCGGATAATATAACTTCTAACTATAACTAACTAAATTATAACTAAATAGTCTTAAAGTTAATCTTATATAGTTGTTAGAGGTTATATTATCCTATAAAGTCAATTGTTAACAGATACTGCCTAGATTGTCAACAGCTCTCTTTGGGTTATTAATACTCACCATTGAGGTTGTAAATGAATCTTCGCATTAAAATATTGCTATAATCCTATTGGGTTTAGTTAAAATTCTTAATGATATCAAAAAGCTTCCCATTTCAGTGTTAAAGTTATTGTATTATACTATTTGGTTATAATTTACGTTTATATGGAGGTTATATGATTCTATAAAGTAAGTTGTTAACGGATACTGCTTAGGTTGTTAATGCCCTCTCATTCGGTTGTTAATAGTCACTGTTGAGGTTGTAAATGGATCTTCGCATTAAATATTACTATAATCCTATTGGATCTAGTTAAAATTCTTAATGATATCAAAAGCTTCCCATTTTAGTGTTACAGTTGTTGTATTATACTATTTGGTTATAATTTACTCTTATACGGAGGTTATATGATTCTATAAAGTAAGTTGTTAACGGATACTGTTAGGGTTGTTAACGTCCTCTCATTGGGTTATTAATAGTCGCTGTTGAGGTTGTAAATGGATCTTCGCATTAAAATATTACTATAATCCTATTGGATCTAGTTAAAATTCTTAATGAGATCAAAAAGCTTCCCATTTTAGTGTTAAAGTTGTTGTATTATACTATTTGGTTATAATTTACTCTTATGTGGAGGTTATATGATTCTATAAAGTAAGTTGTTAACGGATACTGCTAGGGTTGTTAATGCCCTCTCATTGGGTTGTTAATAGTCACTGCTGAGGTTGTAAATTGCAATGACAGAGCAAATGTGAATCTGGAATATGAGGGGCAGTAATGTTATTTTACAAATCGAAAATATTACTCTGAGGTCCCTTGAGACTTGTCAGTAATTTTGACATTTTATGGGACCTCAGAGTAATAAATTACTTTCTGTGGGACCTGTACGTAATTTTCCCTAATAATAAACAGAGGGGTCAGATTTAGAGGGCGAAGGAGTCTTCTTTTGCTGGCCACGCTCCCACCTACTATTCCTCCTCCTCTTAACTAATAAATAACTGTCTTCCGTTAAGCTAAGCCCTAATTTTATGACTCATCAGTTGAAATATAGAGAAAACAATTAAGTGTGGAGAAAAGGCATGGGTCATGTACTTTTGACGAATATAATAAATCTAATTAATTTATATATATGAAATTTATTAGATTCAAATATCGCCGCTGACAAAAGAGAGATAACGTCGCAACGCAAGATTTTGAAGAAGAAAATTACGTCTGAACAAATACACGATTTCGAGAGAAAAAATTTAATTATTTGTGACTTTTATGCAATCATATGTTTTTGAATTAGTATTGTTATATGTATATGATTTCCAGATATCCCATATCCCATTGATCTTCAATAACACCCCATTATTTTAGCTCTTCCATTATTATTTTCGGTCAGGAGCTCTTTGATTATAAAAATGCATTGCGCAACAACAACCCATAGTTTTCTATATTATCAGACACTTGTCCCAAAAGTATAATTATGAAGAGTGGCATTCTTCCTCCGGCGGGCAACTGATATTGGGCTTAAATATTCTGCAAGTTTTATTGGATATGTTGGATATAGTCAGATTTAATCTTGGACTAGCTAGTCAATTAATTATGCAGACCTGCAGTGATACTGGCTCCATATTGAAATACTAATATAAAATGAAATGTTAAGGCTCAACATACAAATCAAGCACATAAATCAGCCGAGATAGTTAGTCCCAAAGATGTTAATTATGATTGTAGATCTGCATTGTCAGTATTCAGTGAATATACTTTGGTATTCAAACAGGACGGCCTCGCATGAGACGTTGATGTGCCGTCGTCGGAGTGGCGGGACCTCTCCACCTGCCGACGACGTCAGAGGTCACCAGGTATCGTACTTGCCGACGGAGACGGGGGTGGTGGTCCATCGAGAAGGACTCAATATCAGCGGCAACGACGTTGATGTTGCCGGAGCGGCTCTGTTTTTTTTTTTTTTTTTGGTCCAAAGGAGCGGCTCTGTTTGTCGCTGAATAAGTTCCATTTCTTATTACTACAAGAAAAGAATCAACAGGAGTAATACAAGCCCTTGCCCTCTGAATTTCCCGATTTTGAAGGAGAAGGCTCCTAAGAATTTTGT